AGTTATATATTTAGTTTATATAAAAATATATATTTATAATGATAAATCTAAAATAATACATGAAAAATTTTGATATCTTTTACATACATTTTAATAGCAAAATTGATATACATGTTGGTATAGTATTAATAACTTTAATAAAAAATTGTTCTTTTTAGTTATTCTGTTAATTAATTTGTTAAATTTGTTTTGATATATACATTTTTAATCTCTCAATTTAAAAGTTTAGAAACTAAAAATATACATATATAAACTATTATAACCAAATTTTTTCTAGCTCTTTTAATATTTTTTTCCAAAATCTCAATTTTTTTAAAATATTAATTTCCCATAAATTATTATGTTTTAAATGAAAATTTAAATATTTGAGCTTTGACTTGATGTGGGAAATTAATTCGGAAATTTTGTTTAAAAAGAAATCCAGATTAAATCAAATTAATATCATTTTGTACTCAATATGAAACATTTAAAATACAAGCTTTGTTTTTTAGGGACCCAATTGCAATTCGATTTAAATAAGACGACTGAAGTGGCAAGAGAAAAAACGCTAAGGACTAAAGCGCGGCACAATTTTAAAACGGCGCCGTTTTCTGGCTAAAGAGGGCGAAAAGAATAATATATATAATAATAAAAAGGAGGATGGTCCCCTATTTTCAGCCTTCTTCCTCAATCGCTGTCCATCCAAATATCGGCCCTATGGCCCCCAGTCATCAGGCGTCCTCGCGGATGATAGATTCCCGTCCTTTGCTTTCACCTTCAAACAGTAGGTTCTGTGGAGAAAGCAGGATAGTCAAATCCGACTTCTTGTGATCTACGGTGGGAAAGATGAGAGAGATAGATCCGAGGGTGGGTAGAATTTTAGGGTTTTGATTTGTTTTATTTTTCTCTAGGCCTATAAATCGGGGGATTCAGAGAGAGAGAACAGGAATTTTTCAAAATATTCTTCTAGGTGTTTAGGAGGAACAGAGGAGAGCGAGAATAGCGAATTCCCGACAAGATTCCGGCGCCGTTTTTGGCTCACCTAGCTAGGTAACTTCCAGATCCGAGCACATAAGGGGCGCCTTTGGATTTTTGCCTCCGGGACTACTCCAAAATGGTGTACCCGGAAGCATGACGACCAGAAAGCTCCTTTTACGTGTATGTTTGTTGGTTTTAGTTGCATATCTGTGAATTTTGAATATGTGTTGATGAATTTTCCCCTTTCATGCACTGTGGGTTGGAAAATATTGAGTATACATGCCAAATTTCAGGTTATTTCAGTGCATTTGGATGCATATAGGGTTGTCTGAGTACTGTTGGTGTTTTTTCCATTTTTCTCCATTGTTTTCGCGGGTTTTTTCCTTTTTTCCTATTTTTCTTGCCTTGCCGGAATGTATCGGGAATTCCCGGATGCTGACGGAATCTGGGAAAGGTTCGCCGCCGGCGGGCGAACCTTTCTTTTTTTGGGGCGGGGGGCCTTTGTTTCTTTTTTAGTTCTGGGCCAAGGCCCGATTCTATAGTCCCTAGTTAGGTCCATTTCAGAAATAAAAAATAAAAATAAAAATAATTAAAATAAAATGGGCTAGCCCTGTAACCTTTGTTTTAGGGCTAAAAGAAGATCTGCAATGAATTTGGGCCTTAAATTTAGTCCATTGTTTTACTTAAGTTAATTGATTAATTAATTAGATTAATTAAATCTAATTGGATTTAATTAATTATCTTAATCATTTTCAAGTGACTTTGATCAAGAGTGATTAGACTAATCAAGAATTGATTAAATTAATTAAAATTAGTTAAGATGATTAATTACCTTTAATTAATTTTAATTAATCTAGATAAAGTATTTTAACTGATGTTTAGTTTAATTAATCAAACTCTATTAACCTAAATCTGGAGTTAATGGGCCAATGCTCAACCTTCTTAAAATCTAATTTAGTCCCCATCTTTTGGAGATTGTGCAATTAAGCCCTCATTTTTCAGTTTGTTTAAAATGTACCCAAAAGCTTCAAACTTGTACAATTTGGTCCCTCTGTTTTCGGGGTGAGTGTTAGGTATGGTCATATCCGTTACTTGCATGTATTTCATCTGTTTGAGTAAGTACCTCACGCAAATTGTAAGTAATGGGTATGAAAATTGTATATCCACAAGTCTTAAATCAAATAACAAGTATAAAAGTTTAAAGCTATTTACTTAACATGTTTAATCATTTTATTTTATTGACATGTTACATGTACTTATATAATTGAAATTTTATATATACTTATTATACTTATTATCTATATAACAATAATAACTTTTTTAAAAAAAAAAAAAAATTACACTTGCAACTTATAAATAACAAACTCTAAACCAAATACATATCACACACGGAGCCTATAACTTTTTCCCTTCCTTGCACTCTTAGACAAAAATGAGTACTTATAACATCAATGTTTGATTCTTTTTAGCTTCTTCTTCTCTTTTATTTTCTTTATTTTTTTTTACTTTTCTATTAGTGATTTTCAAATCATAGTTTTTGTTTATTGGATAAATGATTATTTAGCTTCAAACTCCAAATTTAACATGATAAAAATCATAAGTTAAAAGTATAAACATTAGGATGTTAAAATAAATACAATATTATCAACCACTATCTCTTTCTAATAAATTGAAGTAAAGGATTAAGGAAATTATGAGCTCAAAAACCTGAGCATTTTCTTTAAAGGATTTTTATTCTATTATTTGATTTATTTTCATTTTTTATTTTTTGGGTGCATATTTTTTATTTTTTATTGCTAATTATTTTATTGAGTTTAGTTTTTTTAATAATACGTAAATTTGAGTTTTGGATATAAAATCAAATTTTAGTTTTTTATTTTTTTTAGATTATGTTTAAGTTTAGATTGTAATAAATAATATTTTATAAAATTTTACTAGGTTTATTTAAGTTTAGATTGAAAGTAAATAATATTTTATCAAATTTTAATTTAGAAAAAAATTTAAAACAAAATATCATTTAACAAGTATATAACTATATACTTATAAGTTATCTGGTACCTATTGTGTTAAATATGTATATGAATAAAATTAATAGACTAATTAATGAAACGATTAAAAAAATATGTTTTTCATTATTTAAAAACAACAAAATAAAAAATTAATTTATAAATTAAAATTGCTCAAAATTTAAAATTTAAAAACTAAAAATAACATTTAAGCTTTTTAATTCTAATGCTGCCCATGTTATAGAATTTATTGTAGTCAAGTTTAGTTGGATGTATTATTACCTATTTTAAAAAAAACTTTAGTTGGATGTCTCAAGTAATCATTAATGTAATACGTAATATAGAAATGCATGGGATTGAGATAATTGTGCATTTGAGCTCACAGTTCCGTAAATCAGAACTTTCCAGAAAATTAAATTATAAAAAATTTAAACCTAATATTTGTACCATTAAATTTAAGCTATAAAAAATTTACATCTTGATATTAATTTCATTACTAAAATTACATGAATTATTTTAATTAAATAAAAAATTAATTTTTATTTTTTAATAATAATAATATCAAAAAAATATTCTTAACATATATTCTAAGAGTACAAGGTAAAAATTTTATTTTTAAAAGTCTTATATGCTAAAATTATAACAATAAAAAATTTAAAAACTAAAATAATTTTAATCTACTAAATACATGATCAATTAATAATTTACTCATAAAATAAATGAAAAAAAATGGTCTAAGTCTAACCAACGTTTGTCACATCTGTTGGTGTCCACTCGGCTGGAGGGGCCGAGGCTCCTCAAGCATTATTCATTTATTACTTGCTTAGTTTAATTTCAGTATATTTAATATTTAAATTTGGGTGTTTTAATCTAAATTATTTCATGTATTTATTTTTATTTTAAAAAATAATTATAATATAAATTAAATAGAAACTTTTTTAAAATAGTGATTAATTATAAATAAATATAAAATTT